GGGGGGGGGGGCAGGGATGTCGCTGCACCAGACGGGACAGGCCTTGCTGACTGCTGAGGCCACCAGCATGACTGGGTTTGCCAGGCTGACAGCTGCAACAGGTGGCCGACAGTGAGGAGCCGGTTTTCCTGTGACTAGGCCGACCCCCTGGGAGAGTTCAGATGCTCCTTTGCCTCAAACCTCAGCTCCTGTGGGGCCTTTCAAGTGGGACCTGTCCGCGGGCGAGGCCCACCCCTCCCCTTGCTTCCTGGCATGGGCCAGGTAGGGGTGAGCTGGACTTGGGCACTGGCTCCCCTTCTCTGCCCCCCCCTGCTGCTGCCACTAAACCCCCCATTGGGGGCCAGGTGTCAGGGGAGCTGAGAACCCAGACCCCAGTCCAGTAGGAGCGTGGGACCTGGGCGCTAGTCTGGGGCTTCCACCTGCCTCTGGGGTGCAGCAGCCTCCCACGGCCTTTCTGGGCTTCAGAGATGGACCCACGGAGCACGGGTGGTCAGGGCATCTGCCCCTTGCCTGCTTGGGCCCCAGGAGGCTCTTGAGTTCAAAGAGGCAAGGGGGTGGGGGTGTCTTCCCACTTGTGAAGTCAGCACAAGGCCTAGTCACCCTGACTCCGCCCCGGCATTTCATTCATACCAGATAATAGCTACTTTACTGCCAACTGGCCATGTAATAACCTTGTGCACCTTTGAGAAGATTTATGGTTTTGAATTGCTGCTTTTAATAACATTTTTATATTAAAGTTATAACTAATGTGTCTGATTTACAATTTAAAAACTCCCTTTGGAAAATTGCAGGTGTTTCCCCTAGAGAATTGTCAGCTGTTGGATGGCAGGAGGAATTGTTTCTGGTTTTTCTTGGAATCCTGAAGGTTGAGGGGGAATGGCAGGACCCCATCCTCTCCCTGGCCACCAGCGCCCTCCTCTCTCTGCCTCCCATTCTCAGCAGTGTTCTCACCCTTCCCACAGGAGGATGTGGAACCTTATTCTACTGTGAGTACCTGACCCATGGGGACAAGAACATTGGCTGAAGGCCACAGCGAAGTAAAAGTGGAATGTGAACTTAGAGACAGCCCATTACATACTGAAGAGCAGGCACTTTCAAACTGGGAGCAGTCGGCACACAGGCAGCACCACCCTGTAAGTCTGGAGTGAGTTCTAGGTTTGGCTCTGTTCCTCATTGCCTGCCCCACTTGGGTCGGGCTCCCTGGTTTCAGTTTCTCCTGCTGCATTCAGCTAGCTCCCCAGTTGTTGAGAGGGAATCTGTCATATATACATGCGATTCGTGTGATTACATTTCCCTAAATCTGAGGCAGTCTGGAGAAAAAGAGAGGTGAAGGGCTAGGGAGGAGTCAGCTACAGGACGGTGAAGGCCATGGGCTCCGCAGAGTTAAAACACCCCCTCCCCCCACCCCAGTCCTTAAAGTTGCAAGTTACTCCCACTTTCTTCTCTCATTCCTTCTGCCTCAGCCCTTTAACAGCACAGCAGGAGCAGGGGAGAGGGGAGATGAGTCACTGGGCCAAAGTCAGTGGGCTGGAGAGGAGAGTGTATGGCACAGGTCCAAGTCCCTCAGCCCCAGCCCCAGCCCTGCTCTGAGGAGCTGTAGAGACACCCCTGAGGCCAGTGGTCTCTGGGACTGGAGCGTGCCTGGTTCTTTGTGGTCTGGCTTAGTGTGAAGAAATATTTAGCTTTGGAATTTAGGAGCAAGGTATTAGAAATCTCATTCACTCAGTGTTAAGTTACTAAAATACTTCATTCTTTATACTCTTTCCTCTTTATAGATAATCTGAAAATACTGTATAACAAACAGGAATTATAATTTGAGTAGTAATTATAAGGAACTATAGCCTCTGTGGAATATTTCAATATTGAACTGTCAGGGAATGTCCATTTTTGGGTAGGTTCAAATATCCTAGTAAGTTAACAGTACACAGAATCGGATCAACATTGTCAAGTCAGTATTTATTTTGCTCCAAAAATTTCTTTGAATACTACTCATAGGGTTTGTATAAAGACTATGTGTAAAAACTTATCTCCAAGAATAACTCATGGTTGGCAGCAGGCAGGGCTAACACGCATGCTCCCACGCCTTGACGGGGCAGTCGTCCCTCATGAGACCAAGTTGGTGGGCTCTTTCTCTCTCTCTCTCTCCACCCGCCCCCCACACCCCAGCTCCTATCTTAGTTCTTCTGAACCTAACTCTGCATAGTGCTTTGTGCTCATCTTCAAACCAGTAACATCTCTGTAGTTGCCAGCACTAGTATTCATGGATAATTATAATGCTTCTCACTGCTCACCTGATTTTTCTGAGGTTTCTGAATTCAGAGAAATGCTAGGAAGGAGTTCGTGCATGTAAATAGGACTCTGGGCCCTGGCCCAGCTTCCACAGCATTCTAGGTGGAAGTGTGGGAGAGGGCCCAAACTTTTTAGAAAAAATAAATCCAATCTTGTAACGAAGCTCAAAACATAACAATCTTAAGAGCACAGTAGCCCTGGCTGCAGTGTGAGTGGGGACCCCCAACCAGGCAATCCCAGGATGCCTTTCAGCACCTCGGTTCTGTAGGTCTAGAAAACACTGATCTAGCAGTTCCCCAGGGTTCTTCCCTACCACAGAAGGCACAGAAATGAAAGGTAAGGAGGGCTCAAAACCTCTGCCCCCAGAGCCAGGCCCCAGCACCCTCTGAGGGTCACGACGCTCAGGCTAGGGTCAGGACTTACTCCCAGGCCCACGAGGCTGAGGATGAGCCCTAATGCTCCCCTAGTCCTACACCCAGTCCCACTTCCTGAGGACTTGGGAAGTACAAACACCACCCGTAGCTAGAAGTAATCCTGCGTGTTCCCACATCCCACCACTGGCATTGCACACGCTGAGGTCCCTGGAAAATAGCAGCGAGCCCACCCACCTGGGTGAACAGGTCACAGGCCCACACTCGTGGGCAGCTGCATCCTAGGCACCTGAGGGAGGTCCAGTGGCTGCAGAGTTGACAAACCCCCTCACTCCACTCATGAATCCCCATATACACCATCCTCGCCCTCTTCCCCTGGGGCGCCTGTGAGCATGAAGTACTCAGGTAAGTCCCACCAGGTTCTTCAGATTCGGGGGCCTCCGACCTTCAGCCTCCAGTTACTTAGCTCCTCTGCACTGACAGAAACGGGATCTGGGGAGCTATGTGGCAGGCAGAGTCATCCCTTCCCCAGAGTGCAGTGACGAGGCCGAGGTGGTGAGCGGGGTGCTCAGTACTCCCCCATGCCCTCCTCCAGCCACTTTAAATAGTGGACATCTCCTTGGTCCATGAGAAGACTGAAGACCTCTGGGATCTCGAAAGGATGCACCAACCTTTGGAAAGAAAGCAGGGCCTTGTGAGTAACCATGATCAAGATCAGCCCATGGGATCAAATCTAAATGGTCGGCCTCACGCCGGGTCCTCTGCAATCTGCTGAGGCCTATCGCCCCCATGGCGGCCACTCCTGGGCCGGTCTCCCCACCTGCACCTTGTGAGGAGTTAGGCCAGATGGCTTGAGATCACCCACAGTTTCAAGTTCTGAGTCTTACTGGCCTCTTCCTAACTATGGAACCATGGGGAAAGCACTTAACTTCTCTAAAGACCCTACAGAAGCGGACAGAAACAGCACCCGCTGACTGGCTCAGTGTACATGAAAGAGTGTAACAGGCGCTTACCTAACACGGCGGGCACGAGCCTGGTACTTGTATACGTCCGTTAAATGTCAGCGGCTCTCCATGATCCCACATTTCTGTTCCTTCCTCCACAGACTCCCCTCCCAGCAACTCTGTTCTCTTCCTTACCAGAAAGCTCCCCACTCCTGTTGTCAGTCAAAAGCCTCTCTTATATCTTAAAGCCCAACTCAACCACTGATTTTTCTAAGGGATCTTTTCCTTGACCCTCCAAACCCACCGGAATCTCTCCCTTTTGCCTGTTTTTCTTTGCCTGGCCCTCAGCACACAAGGCATCTTCACTTGCCACAGTGAAGACACATGAGTCGTTGGGCCTTAGTCTCCCATCTGTTAATCAGGGTAACAATCCACTACTTCCTTTCCACTGAACATTGATTGTAAGTTCTCCAGAGATGGCATGCTTAGTACATCACAACATGGCTATTCGTGTCTGGAGAAGTTTAACCCAGTACCTGAGTATAATGGATTTGCTTAAGATATTTCAAAAACACTAGGCCATGTTACATGTTTTTATAAGCAGACGCTCAGCAATATTTGACGCCAGTATGCAGACACATAAAATAAGGTACTTTCAACACTTCGTGCTGAGATGGCAGCTGTGCTGACAGTTCACGCGTGCACATGCACACCAGGGTGCTCCCATGTACACCCCCATCCAGGGGCAATCCACACTTACTGAAGGAACAACTGAGGCACAGAAAGTGAGTAACCTGCAAACACACTACAAATAGCAAGTGAAGAAGACAGAAGTTAACCCTGGAGGTCAAGCTCTGGGATTTGCTTGCTGAACTCTACAGCTGTGCCTAATCAGTTAAGCTATAACCTCTCCACAGGGCCTGTTCTACCAAAGGTGACTCAAGTGTTGAGACATGGGTGTAGCCAGGGAGTACAGATCCTGGTTCCCTAAGAAGTGAAAGAAAAGGGTTTTATCCAGATAGGTGACCTGCACCCCTGGTGGCACAGCAGTCAGTCTGGGCGCTTCTGAGGAACACCACATCTGAGCCCCGCTGCAGAGTCTGACATGGCGTTTCTATGGGAAATCTGAAAAATGTCCCACGTGATTACAGTTTTCACTGCCAAGATCACTATTTTAGAACAGGGTTTCTCAAGCTTTGAAGGCATCGCCTGTTAACCTAGCTTGACTCAACAACTTAGGGTGAGCCTGAGCTTTGCAGCGCCAGGGAGCCGCCATGTATCCAGCGATTCCAAGACCACACCTCGAGTGGTGTGGACCTGGCCCAGAGGTTGTCCAAGTAAACCGTGGCCCTGGGGCTCCGAGACGCAGGAGGTCCACGAGGTCAAGACTGTTTTCGTGACCGAGGGAATGTGCTGTTGACCCTCTAGGGTACTGCCCTCTGCACGGGTGGGCTGAAGTGCTGGCCCCGAGCACAGGGCCACGCAGCTCCGGGCCCTCCCCGCTGGCCCCGGACTCCTCACTGCCAGGCACGTGCATACGAAAAAATCCAGTTCACTTGAGACTATCGTTGACAAAGCTGTGGAAATGATTAAGCTTTATTATTTTGTGTGGTGAAATGGGACGTTCACAAAGTACTTAACTGTATAGTTGAGTTCACTGTTAAACTTGCCTGAGTCACTAGCTAGAGGTTTTTGTTTTCAGGGAACACCATTTTTACTTTCAGGTGTTAGTATTTGATATCTTCTCAGATATCAACAGAGTAAGACATTACTCGAAGACAATTTATGTAATTTGTAGCCAATGAAAAAATTCTTGTTTTCAAGGAAAATCTGAGCTTAGAAAAACCTGAATTTATCACCACCATAAGCCTATGAAAGATGCTTCTGATACGAACTAGCTTTGCCATTAAGTCAGATTTTGCAAAAATGTGAAATGTTGCCATGTTTCTCACTCTTCCAGTGTTTTTTTTAAAAGTATTACTTCCCATAACATGCATTCTTTATGTTAATAGGTAATGGTTCTTATTGTTACTGTAAAATAGTGAAATATAGTTTGAAAGTTTTAATTTAGTAAACTCTGATATAACCACATAAACAGCTCTTTAAGGTCCGCTGTCATTTTGAAGGCATAAAGACACCCTGAGACCTTTGCACTCAAAGTAGTAAAATAGCTTTTGCCACTTGTCAAGGACATTCTTAAGTGAATTTTGAGAACTTCTGCTTTCATGCACTCTGGCCTCGGATTTTGGCGAATCTGAGGGACAGGGATACGCGAAGGGGTGTATGGGGATTGATGACTGGGCTCGTGCACGTGGTCCCCAGTATGTGCCGCTGGCATTACCTGATGTAGCTGGACAGCGTGTAGACCCTGGAAGTCTTTGTCTTTATTAACTATAAAAGAAAAACACCACCACAGCTTGACTAAGAACTAAGCGCAGCACTGCAGCCACCCCCTCACCCGCCACCCCCGCAGGCCCTGCCACAGGAAACCCAGCTCACAAGGGAACCTATGGCATCCTGTGAGGGACAAGAGCCTCCAGCAGCTGATCTCTGCTCATTCCTCACTGGGGCCTGGAGAGAACTTGGGGAAGAGGCCTTGGTCTTATATTCTCCCTGTCAGGGATCCACCTCCACCCCCCTTCTCACTCACCAATAGGATTTCAGTGGCTTCTTCTATCTCTCCATTCCAAAAGTACCTGGAGAAAGAACAAAACCAAATTATAATGTTCAGGAGACAAGTCCAATCAAATGTCAAACCTGGCCCAATTTAGTGACTCTCCTCACGTGGAAACTTTAAAACCTTTCCAGTCCCCTGTAAGTTGGCCAAGGCCTCACAATGCAACCATCCTGATAACCTGCTGTGACACACGGTGCGTCCTGGAAGTGAGAGGCTCACCATCTCTTGAAGTTGGCCTACCCTAAACGTTTTCATATGCCATGGCTTTAGGGTGTGCCAACATCTGCCATCCACTTGCTTCTTCAACTTCCACCTGAAGAACTGCCTCAGACAACCCTGAAGAAACACCTGGGTTTTCCTGTCTCCAAACCAGCCTCTCCAGCCTCTCAATGCTCATCCCAGACTAACTGTTGGGCTGCTGCCCCGTGCTCTGGGCTGCTGCCACTCTCAGCTGGCTCTCAGAGTTGAGTGCCCACAAATGGATAAGTAAAAAGGCACAGGAGGCTTATAAAAGATGGACACAAGTCCAAAGGTTAAAAATAAAGCCAGTGACAATGTTCAGAAAAGAGTATGAGGACAGCATCATAGGAAGAAAAAGAAACTTGTCCTGAGAATGATTTTAAGCGACCTAAAGTCTAAGACCACCTAGTCCACAGGCTGGCGCTGTCTCAGACTGAGGTAAAAGGCCCCATTGTGAAGGAGGCTGGAATCCTCTTCTGGTTCCTGTGCTGGCTTTCGGGGACTCACCTATGGCACTTATTAAACTGATGATGGGAACTGCACTGTCCAGAAGACTGAGAAGACCTCGATCAGAGCTGAAGCAGCGCCAGACTGGGGAGCCACAGCTGCAGAGGAAGGGGCTGACACCACTGGGGGGAGGGGGAGGCGCGCGCATTGGACAGCACTTTCTTGTTTTGACTTGTAAAATAGATTATTTCTTTTTCTCTCCCCTTCCCCTCCACCAGGGGCAGTAGGAAATGAGAAACAAGATGATCAGAGAGATGAAGGCACAAGACAAGCGCTCCACACTAGCTAGCGTAGAGCTGCTGACATAGTGGCGGCAGTGGTGCCACTGAAGCCGTGAGTGACGTGGAGGGCCGAGGGCGCAGGCGGGGCCTGTCACTCATGCTCAACCCTCAGCTGTCCCGGAGCCTAACACAATAGCAGTTATCTTCACTGTCCCTTGCTGGCGTCCTCAGAGATGGAGTACCCAGTCTGTCTTCCTGACAGCAAGCCAGGTGATTCAAACAGGGCGCGAACAAGATTCCCCATCCCTACACTGCAGTTTGTTCTGCCCTCTCCACACACAGCCTACACTGTTGCCTTGCTGGGTGATACGAATCCACTGCTTGATCTCCTCTGAATACAAATCAACAGTGAGCTGCTTCCCTGAGTACCTATGAATTGTCCTTTGACAATTCCCCATTAATTCAGTGTTCCTTCCCCCAGCCAGAACCTGGCTTAGCACTGCTGCCCACCCCCTCCACCAAAACTCACAGTGAGGATACCCGGGGCAGGATATTCACCGAGGTAGCCAGCTTCTTGTCCAGCACAGCCCTAAAGAAGAGAGACAGTTGCGTTGAGGCAAGTGTCCAGGATGTTGGAAGAATTAGGGAGCAGGGGTTCCTGGGAATATTCAGGAACCCAAGTCTAGTTAGAGAGCCAATTAGATAGCCAACACAATCCATAATCGCCACGCCCTGAGCTCTGAAGACAGCTATTTTCAAGTCCCTCCCAGGGGAAGCAGCTGGCCCTGGTTGGCTTAGGCGGTGAGAATAGCACTGGACAAGAGATGGCCCAGATTCCCTCTAGGCCCTGCAGAAGGACGGCAGTGTGACATTATGTGAGTTTTCCATTTCAGGAGTATCCGAGCACCGCTCCAAGCTGGGCAGACCCCCCTCTTTCAGACTGACTCCTGCTGTACGAGAGGACTGAGGTAGTCAGTGGTTTCCAGCCCTTTTCACCGCCAAGGAGTCCTCGGTTCACACCAAAACCATCTTCTGCTTTCACAGCTCAGATTAGTATCTGTTGATAGTGCTTCTCAGCAGATGCCCATGTGATCACGTAGAATTCGACTACAGGTAAATGCAAAAGGAAAGCCTCACATCCTGTGCATATCTCTGGCACATACAGGTCTCTTCACTTCTTGTTTTTGTACAGGATTCTGCCACAGTCCTAAGAGCAGAGCCGTCTCCTCTGCAGATCTATAAGACTTTTTTTTTTTTTTGACAGATCACAAGCTGGAACCCTTGGCCTGCGAGTCTCTGATTCCCGTGCAGAGCATGGAGAACACAACAAAATGTTCATGCCACAGGTGTTTCAGAAACACAAGCACCACCAAGTTACCAAGGCAGAGATGTGTTCCCAAGCTGCAGACCTCAAGCCCTCAGAATCAGGTAGGCCCTGGCCACCGCTCTCAGGTCTCTGGTAGTCAAGGGGGCCAGGTCTCTATTCTTTGAAGTGTTTGCATCCTGCCAAATAAAACCCAGTCCTCTGATCCCTCCTCCCCTCGGCTGCGAAGAGAACTGACCTACTTTCCCTTCCCTTAAGCCTCGAGCTGAACACTGCTCTATTTAAGGCTCCACATTAACTATCACCCTCCTTCCCTTGGAAAGTTACAGGGGCTAAATAAATCCCTGATGGTAAAGAGCTGTGTCCATATGGCACACATTTGTTTAAGCAAATGCTGCAAGTCTTGCTCGCTTAATCATCCACTGAGAAGCCACATTTTATTGATTCCATGGCTGGCACACCTCACGGGCCCTTCCACTCTCTGTGCGTGAAGTTCCAGCTGACTGATCACAGTGACCTGTCCTTGTGCCCAAAGCAGTAGAAGTGGAGAGGACTGGGGTCTTCAGATGGAGGGAGGAGGGGCGCAGACACACACCTCTGCAGAAGTCCCTTTACTCTTGCAACTTTTTGAATTTAAATATCAAGACAAAAAATTAGAAACAGAAACTTGGTAGACAGGTAGGTAGACACAGATGGATAGGTAGGTAGGCCCTCTGAAACCCTAGTTCATGGATTCCCTCAGGGATCAGGCTCCTTAAAAATGCCTGCCTTAGGTGCCAGTATGGTTGGGTAAGTCCCGTTTCTGGGTTGCAGACATCTGGTTGTGTCCTTACATGATGGGGTGGGGACATGGAGACTTGTGGGTCTCTTATAAGAACATTAAACTACTATGAGGTCTCCACTCTGATTTCTTAATCACCTCTTATGGGCTCTACCTGATAGTACCATCACCTTTGAGGGTAGGATTCCAACATATACATTTTCGAGGAACATAACATGCTGACCATAGCAGACTCAAGATGACTGTAAATCTATAGCTGCCAATGTTATGTTTCTTCATCGATGTAATGACTACACAGTATTTACAATATACATGAAGTTATACATTTTTCTATTCACTTAACTTTGAAATAACTGGTTTTTATGTGCTGCATATTACAATAAAAGGGGTATTTGAAAGGAAAAAAATGCCTGCCTTCTACCACTACCAGGGAACCCCTGCACACCCCCCATGTTTATCTTCAAAGCCCCCTCTACTTACCCGGTCGCCATAGTCGCGGCTAGTTTGCTGTCTCTGTCGCTAAGAAGACACACAGATTGTGTTTTTCCGCCATATCAAATAAGCCCGGGGCCAGGAGATGTGGGGGTGACCTGCCATGCAGCTTTGTTCCACCTATTCCTATGTGCCATTAGCTCGTCAGAAGTAGGTCCAGTCTCTATGAAGTTGGGTCCTTATTTATAGGTTCAAAAACTCTCAGATGCCAGCTCTGGGCAAATGTAGGTTTGTGAGGCCTGAGAAATATTCAGGTGCTTAAAGGCTGACAGTGGGGTTGCTGGGAGATAGACCTCACTGCGTAGAATGGAGGGGAATGGCGTTCGGTTTCTGTACTATGATCTACGGTAGGTGTCAGATTACTTATAAATTGGATTTTACCTAATTAGTTAATTTCAAAGTACCTCATATATAAAAATAAAGCACCAAAGTTGCTTTTCAAAGACCAACAGTGAGTCACTGTTATGGGGTTCAGGACCTCACACTTGTCTGAGGAAAGTAACATTCACAGAAGAGTGGTTCCCAGACTACATGTATGGCATTTTAAAAAACCTCAGCTTTGTTACCAGTATTTATCATCAAGATATCTTACACTTGGATATATAGTTATCTATATATATAGTTATCTATATAAGTCTTCCAACTCTGGGCTTGCAGTCCCACGAGGTCACATCTAGCTAGAGCTGTGGCGCCCACCCCCTCTAGGCATGACGCTTCCTCCCAATCCACAGCTTTCCCCTGCTCTTTGCCCCCAACCCCACCACGAGGAAGGGTCGCTACCCAAGTCATCATTCTGCCCCAGCCCACAGCACTCACTTGAGTGTCCTGCCTGAAGGGGCCAGAGTTGGTCACCGTGGCCTAATCCAATTCTCTCTCCACATCGGAGAGCAGAGCCCAGAGAAGACAGACCTGTCTAAGATCACAGGTGGCACTGGCAACCAAGGAGACCGAGCAGCTAGTTCTTCTGATTCAATATTCGGTAATTCCACCTGGTACCCAATGTGCGATTTTTCAGTTTAGAATATGCCTGTCAATGAGAACAGCGCCTTTGACCAGAACCAGATGAACCTGAGCTGACCGGGACCATAGCAGAGAGGCAGCAGACTCAACAGAACGTGAAAGAAGAGCGAAGCACTACAGTGGCATTGACAGACAGGTCCCCGCGTGGGCTCTGCCGTTAAAGCTGGGGGTCCTGCCAGCTAACATTCGTGGGACCCTCCGCGACACATATGCACACTCTCCCACGAGTGCTGGAAGTGAGCCCATCTGCCCCTCCTCCATCCACGCAGGATTAGCCTGTGGAGGCTACGCCCAGAGACTGGATTCAAGAGTGCCAAGTAGTGAAGCAAGGAGCCAAAGCCACTTCCCTCTCGGCCGCAAGCTCTCTTCAGAGCTGCAGCTACTAGGAGGTGTGAAGAGGCAAAACTCAGATACAACATTTATTGAGGATCTGATTGATACACTCAAGTCACTGGGGTAAGGACTAGACATTTTCCATAGCACTTAGCCCTCACGACCCTGGAAAGTAGACGGCAGTATCCTGCTCCGTAATTCAGAAAGTTAGCGTTTAAAGAGGGAAGCAACTTGCCCAAAGCCACAAAGATACTAAGTGTCAGAGCAAGATTCAGTCTGGTCTGATGATGGACCTAGTGCCCCTCCTACCATCCCATAGTTGTTTCTAGAAATTTGCCAAACTCTTGGAGTGACCTCTTCATCTCCTCTGTGGTGAGCACCTCTGGGGCTGAACGAGACTTTCTCTAAGAAGAAAGCTGGGCCAGGAATCAGAAGAACTAAAATTCTCAGCCTGCATACTTCCACTCTTCTCTCACCTTGAACACCTGGGACAAGCCATCTGACCTGGGTCTCATACACCTTGTGTGTCCCCACGTGCCACTCCAAGTATTTCAGGCCTGGGCCCTCCCTGGTGGCACAGCGGGTTAAAGCACAGCACTAAGAAGCTAAAAGCCACTTCAGCATGCGTTCAATCCCCCCCCAGAGCTGACCCACATGGCACGGCAGACCTCTCCTGGCCTGCCCGCTGCCCCCCTCAGCAATGTACTTCATCAGTCGGCCTGTTCTGCTCCCCACTCAGTCTCTGGTGAAGCCTCTCACTGCCCCCGCACCTCTGGCCTGTATCCCAGTTCTGTATGCATAAATAAATAAATCTTTAAAAAAAAAAAATTTCAGGTCCAGCACTAGGATCTGCCAGGGGATCATTCTGCTCTGCTTCTCCTATCACCCCAAGCAGATAAAGGTGGAGTTCATTGCTGGATGGACAAGACAAAAAAGCAGGCCCCAAGCAGCAGCTCCGGGGCATCTGCTTAGCTCCCTGAAGCCACGGCTAAGCCCCTTCACCGTACCTGGCGATATCTCTGGCAATTTGCTCGTTGGGGCAGTTGACAAAGACGACAGAGTAAGTGCCGGAGACATAGCTGCCAGTGACGGCGGAGTGGAGATGCAGGTACAGGGTCCTGAGTATGGGGTAGGTCAGGAGAGAAGCCGCCAGGATCTGCAAGATAGGAAAGGGAAATCACAGGCCATGAACGGCCCATCGGGCATCGGCCTGCTCAAGCAGATGGTAGCAAGGCTGTGCATTTTCTCATCATTCCCTGCCCACAGAGGAACTCCTGGCATCTGCAATGCATGCTTATGTTCAAGTTTTCCTATCTCGATATTTTCCTCTGCATTTCATAGATGTTTTAAAAAATGGAGGCTCAGAAATCTAGAAACATGTTCACAGCTTTTAATTGGGGGAAGCCCAATTAAGACTCAAATCGCAATGACTTGAATTCTGTTGTTCTGGTACAGAACTGCTGTCAGTGGTAGCCGACAGCTGTTGAACCGCTGTTATCTGAGGAGATTATTACCACTGATAAACTCTGACAGGCACTAACGTTTTAGGGAGTAATTTTACCTCCATCCCCTGGCAGACCAGCGGCCTGCTTGTACTGCAATGCAGCCTGTTACTGGGCCTGCGAGCTGGAGGCCCAGGAGGAAGGCTCTGCCAGAGGGAGCAGGAAAAGATGCTGATGGCATCACCACATTGCATCTCAAGTACTAATGGGATCACCAGAGTAGAGGGCGACACTCCAAGCAAGTAACAGCCGATGCAAACTCGAGGGGCACTTCCGGACAGCTGAGATATCCAGACTGCACGGCTCTGGGGTAGGAGACGCAGGCCTGGCTAGAATGGTAACAAAAAGGGTCCAGCTAGGGAGCTCAGGGTTTGCGCTCAGCTGACTGGATGCTTTGGAAGTTTTAATGTTGGAGAGCAGTGCTGTGGTCAGGAGAAGCAGAGTACCCCAGGAGAAGGTGGGAGTGCCACACGGGCAGCTTCCACAGCTGGTCATGGTGATGATCCAGGAGTAAGGCATGACAACCCCAAATCAAGAAGACAGCAGCAACAATGTGGAAGGAAAACAGATTTTCTTTTAGCGATAAATGTTTAAACTAAGAGGAAATGAAAAGAGCCGTGCCGGGGTTCTTTGCTTGAGGCCCCTAATGGAATCTTTGTGAGGACAGAGGCACCTCGCAAGCAGTTCCACCGTCAGGCTGCACAGAGCAGGCTTCTCCTCCAAGCCCAGCACTCAGGCTTCGCTCAAATGAACCGCTCTGTCTCGCCCTTTTTCACTTTATGGTCTGCTCCTGGCTCCTGCTTCCTGGCAGGGCCTAGAGCACTTTTACATCTTCCGCTGAAGTTTGACCGGAGGCCTCTCTGGGCTGGGTTTCTCATTCCCGCTCACTCCCTCCACCAGCACCTCCAAGTCAACATACTAGTACCCTGAACAAAACCAGTGGCCATGAAAGTAAAAAGATGCAGGCTTCTCAGAGAAGCTGTGTGTGTGTGTGTGTGTTTAGCACCAACTCAGTTCCACTAGAGGAAAAAAGTAAAAGCACCATAGAGCAAGATTTAAAGCTTAGTGTCCACACTGCTGCCTGCCTGTGGCCTTCGGCAAGTTACTTCCTCTCCCTTCTACAAATGTTACCTAGAATTGGAGATTACGCCATTGTGCTGCCTACCTCAGAGTTGCTGAGTTCAAACAAGATAGGAAAATAATTTCCAATCATCAATCAATGATTTGCTCATCACTGTATCCCCCAAACATTTCACTGCACATAGCAGTTTCTCAGTAAACATCTGTAGACTAATGTTAAATATCTCATGAAATAGGCAGGGTTTGGGGTGAACCCTTGTTGGCAGGAGATGGGGTGTACTGGGACATGTCAGTTGCTATGACTCGAGGTGGCTTCCAGCGCAGATGCTAAAACAAAAGGAGCAGCAGCAGGTGTCCAACCGAAAAGCCACGTCTAGGGAGACCTGCAGCCTGTCAGCCAGCAGCTGTCAGTGGAGCACAGAGCTCGTGACATTAAGTATAGACTCAACTGAAATGTACTGAAGTGCTTATCGAACTCGCAGCCAAAGTTCAAAGAGGGAAATGTGCCCTCGGATGTTATCTAAGGTGACCCTCCACTGGCCAGGTCAGGTAACAAGGCAGAACACACAGAACCTGCAACAGACTCAAGACTTGAATTCCAGACTCCCACATCCAATCTGCGATCTTGGAACTGCAAAGAACAGGACTAGGAGTTGACAGAGTGGGGTCTCTTGGCTTCACTTAATCCAGTGGTTCTCACTTTGGGGCAGCCTGGCTCCCCAGGAGACATTTGCATCATCCGGAGACAATTTTGATTGTTCTGCTGGAGAGGGGACACTGTCGACCCAGTCGGCAGAGGCTGGAGATGCAGCTTGGCCGCTTTCTGCTGGACGGCTGACCAGGCTGAGAGACAGCTGCTTTCCCGTGTCTCCCCCGGGGCCACGCTCCCATCTCATTCATTTCTGTATCCCCAGGGAAAATGTTTGTGGACCTCAGACACATAAAAGTCCAACTGGAACCAAGGGTGGACTACAAATGTGTTAGATTGTGTCACTGTACAAATGCAAAATGAACCAGAAAGACACATTACAACATTCCCTAACAGAAACATTTTACTAGGAAAATAGCTGCTATAATTTTAAAAGTCCTGACATTTGTTTTTTTCTATATACCTTTTCTTATTTTACATTCTTTTAAAGTATTTTTGTCTATCTTTACAGTTAGTCAGATTTTATTCTGCCTTTTCCTCTTTCTGCCCTGGAGTGTCCTTGTAAGAGATTATGGTTGACTTTACAATCTGTTAAAAACAAAACAAAGGGCCCTCCCTGGTGGCGCAGCGGGTTAAAGCACTGCACTGAGAA